GTCTCTTATCTATACTATTCTAACAACACACTACAAAGTACCAAAACTAGACTCTCTGGGGAGTCAACCCTACAAACTGGCATCATGAAATCAGCCTGTATTTTAAATCTATGCTCTCTGGGATATACATATCCAGTATATCTGCATGTACTAATCAGATGGGCAATCAGGTAACTTCAGTATATAAAAGTTTGGAATAGATCTGAAGCTGAATGCAAGAGTTACTTTGATGGAATTTGCTAAATCAGAAGAGGTTTTAGCCAACAGTAAATATCTAAGAGAGACTATCTCCTGCCTTCTCTTATTGTTGTCTAGAGACTACCACATAATTTTCTGCGTGAAATATGATATCCAAAAATATAAAACGCACAGGTAATTTTTATTCCCCTCCCTATAGTCCTCTCACTTGTCATCATTTCAGTCAATTCCCACGCCAGGCCTCTAGGCACCTATCGAGACTGGGGTTTCATTTCATCCTTTCACCTGTGGTTTGAAAGCCAGGCTTCCCACCAAACTCTAATTACTCTTAAGTTTCACCAGGAAACCTCCCAGTGAGTCTTCCTTAAGAAGGAGGATCTGACGAGGGAGGACTTAACTTTTCTAATGTAGCACCCAGGTGGGCCTCTAGCCAGCTGAAGTGAGCCAAGCCTGAGTCTGAAGTTCTAATCCTCCCTCCAGCTTCTACCTCTAAAGAAGAGATTACATTACAGGCTTATGCGACTCTACCATCCCAAGCAGGAGTGCTGGGGATCCAACCTGGGCCTCTAGTACGCCCGCTGGTGCTCTCTCCCCACTAAGTTACATCTCCAGCACCGGGGCCGCCTCAGGATTCCAAGACCAGGTGCTCTTCTTCGTTTTCTCTCAGATTTGTGTCTTCTCACTGTTAACGAGGGCTGGCGATTCTAACGGAGGAAACTGCTGTAGGAATCAAGTGGCCGTGTAGAGCCTCTCTGCAGCCCAGACCACTCTAATCCTTTTCTGTGTCTCAGCAACTTGCTAAATAACCCAGTTTCAACCTAACTACCACCTGACCCAGGCCACTTCCATTCTTTGTGACCCTAGCTCTAATTCCCCATAAAAGAAAACAATTAAAGGCGCCGAGATGAAAGATACATTTTTAATAATTTGGATACTTTCACAAAGAGACAGGGAAGCCCTGTCCCTACAGAAAGGCTTTCCCACCTGCCCCTGCACCACAGCAGGACATATAAGATGTGACCAGTACACCAAGTACGTAGGACTTTAAAAAGCATCCCCGCTGAGCTGTCTGTGGCTGGTGGTGACTGAGAAGTGTGAAATGGCCAGGAATAAAAACGGCAAACTCAGACTCATGTCTCCTGAAGCTGGCAGTGCCAGGTAGTGCCAGACGCTGAACCCACCTCCACTATTTCTTCTACTTTCCAGTCAAGTGACCGGCTTCAAAGGTCTGGTTTGCAGCTGCTGTTGTACAGCAGACAGAATGTGCAATCTCTGGCTGTGAGCAAGTGCACTGTGAGCAGCATCTCGGCCAGCATCCCCTACTCCCTGTCCAACAGCTCTGAACTTCCACGTGAACAGGCTTGTCAAGAACAATGCCCCCAAATGAAGATACAGGGACACCCAAGATCCCGACACTCATCTGTAGTAAGTGGTGCCAAACTAGTCTCCCTGGACCTCATGGCCTACATTTCCCTACTACGGAACTCCTCATTATCAAGTAAGCCACCAACCTGGTCAGAGTCTTGTTTTGCTCTCATTCCGGCAAAAGGAGTAAGGGATCAGTTTAGGGGCACTAAAGCCCAGGCTTCTATTTGATAAAAGATGCACAGTAAGTTCTTTAAAAAAATAAATTACACAAAATTTTCTGACACAAAACTCACATCTGGACAAGTCACCAAGAGGATCAAAAACTAAAAAGTAAAATCCTCACACAGAATGAGGCTTCTTCACTGCTGGCCCGCTCACCAACTGGCAGGCCTGCTCCCTGGGCATCCAACACTCGGGAGGTAACTCCGGCCCGTGTGACTGTCACCTCCCATGACTCTGATGTTCTCTCCTTCTGGACTAGACAGGGCAGCCCTGGAACCCTAAAATGGAACCTTGTCAGGGCTTCATTCTGGAGTGTGGCTGCAGAATCTAGGCCACAGTTGCCATCACCCTCACCACCCTGCCTCAAGCAGGAGAGCTCAGAAGAATGAAGCAACCTCCCTGCTCCTTTCTGTCAGCCGAGATGCACGAGGCCTGTCTCCTCAAGCTGCCTCTGTTCTCGGTCACTGTTGTTCAGGTGCTTGTTTAGGAGATGGAGCAGTGGTCACAACAACAGTGGAAACTGCTTTGGAGGAGCCAGAAGCTGTGCCCTGCTGGAGATGGGATGCGGGAACCGTCTGGATGCGCACCTGCTTACAAAGAGGAGGTCTCATCAGTGAACTGCAAGAAGGCTCATCAATTAAGAGAAGCGAAGGAAACAGACAAGCCTGAGATGGTCAACAGTCTGCATGAGACCTTACCTGTGTGGCCTGACCTTGCTGCTGAAGCTGCTGCAACTGCTGGGCAGTGAGGAAACTCACCGGCTTATTGCCAGCAATGAGCTTAGTACCCGCTGGCATGGTTGTGAGGATGATGTTGCGACCCAGCCCGCTGAGACTGAGGAAGGGAAACAGAAGCAAGGCATAAGCACGTCGCTCTGGCTCAGGATGAAGTCACATACTAAATGAAGGGCAATAACAAGGCCTGATGCCCAGCAAAAACCTCAGCATTCTGGATTCAAATGGAATCTCGTACTAGGGCTACCTTTCTTCTAAACTTCTATACTTTGCATGGCAGGAGCCTCCAGAGTAGTGGACAACATGGCCTAAACTCTGTACTCTGCCCTGGAAGAGGCAGGCACTGCCAGGAGGCATGTGTCCCTGGCAAGAAACTCTCTCAGGCACATGGGAACCAGCACTGAGAGCACTACAGAGAGTACAGGTGTGAGCCAGCCTCAGTGTAGAGGCTCACAGAGGCCATCTAGCGAGAACTCACTCAGGGTCAGAGAATCTGGGCTTGCTTTACCCAGCAGGGCTGTGTAATGGGGTGATTTGACCACAGATGTGGTTACAGGCAGGTGTTTGGAAGGGTCTACACTTGGCTGTACGGTGTGCTTTGATCTTGTAAAGGTGGGGTCTTTTGCCTCTCCCCTTGTCATATTATAAAAAGCCCTTTTGAATAAAGGACTGGGTGACAGGGTATTGACCCAGGGCCCTCCTGAAGCTATCCTGTGTCTCTGTCTTTCTTACCATCTCTTTCTATCTTTCGACCTAATACTCTCATTACTCTCTCCTAAGAACCCTTCGATAGGTGGGAGCAGGGCAGAGCTGCACTCCAGCATACTCCCACACCTCAGCAGCCAAGTAAACTCTGTCTCTTAGGAAAGAAAAAGGCCATCCCCACAGCCCCAAAAAGCTTCATCATGACTAAGAATGTCAGAATGACTGCATCGGCCTTTTATCTCTGTTTACGTCAGGGCCAGAAGAAACCAGCATTCACCAAGCTGTCTTAAGCTCAGCTCAAATATCAAAGGAGGATCCTTTGATCCTCCAACTTCCTCCAGCCATCCCAACTTCCTCCAGCCGTCCCACCCAACACTCTGCATCTTCCTCATTTTCTACCACTCAATAGATTACTGTTTTATTACTCTCTCTGTATTCCTCTCCCTGCTCTATAATATAAGCTGGGCACAGAATGGCTCTTTTATGCCTTAATCATTGCATTCAACAATAGCACTGGGGATTCGATGTGTATTACTGATGAAAATGTCAGGCGCCAACCATCTTCCCATTCCGCAACAACTGCATTTGCTCTTCCACAACAGCACTCACTTGGCCCCAAGGTTGCCTTTGATGATGGGGGCTGTGACTACGCTCTTGCCCTTCATTGGCTGGCTAATCACAGACAGAGGAACTGTGATCCTTGTAGGCAGCTTCCCCTACAAAGAAAATGATCAGCTTTTGTGAGCTAGAAAGAGATACGGCAAACCAGGTAGTGCCTGCCTATGGAGAAGCCAGAGCAGTACAGACACCTCCAATCCCCATTCCCCCAAGGTTCCACTATTACTGCAGTCAGAACCAAGTGACTCCGGGAAACTTGCTTACATGCTAAGTTACATGTCACTTGTTCCACTACCTAAAGAACAGCAGCTGCCTGTTTGTCACAAGGGGCTCAAGCTCCAAGTTTGCCTTAAGTCTCAGAAGACTTTGGACTTGGGTGGGAGTTGGGGAAAATGGGACTTGAGACTGGGTCTCTCTATATAGCCCAGGCTGTCCTCGATTCAGTCTTCCTGCCTCAGCTTCTCTAGTGCTAGGATTACAGGAATGCACCACCCACTCAGCTAACAGACCGGAACTTTTGAACAATGCTGGACACTACATTTTGTGTTATGTGTGTATCTAGGAGCATTTGGGGACAAGGGGGGCAATATTATAGTTTAAATATGAAATGTCACCCATAGGGGCATATACTGACTAATTTAGAATGAGGTGAGCAGCCTCTGAGACAGGCCCCCACCACTATGACTTTCCGCCTCACCACTGGCCGGGAATCAACAGAGCTAGACTGGGGCGGAGACCTCTGCAACTATGACCCCGAGTTGATCTCTCCCTCGTTTACACAGGTATTCTGTCAGAGCAATATAAAATCTGACTAATAAGAGCACAAGTCTTTAAAAAAGCTTTTTATTAATTTTATGTGTTTTACCAGTGTGTATGCATGTGTAGTACATGTGTGCCTCATGCTAGTGGAAGGCAGAGAGGACACTGAACCCCTTGGAATTTGAGTTATGAATGGTTAAGAGCCACTGTATGGATGCTGGGTCCTCTGCAAAAACAAATGCTCTTAACATGAGCCATCTCTCCAACTCCTGGGTATGATTCTTTATATACTGCTGGATTTGCATGAACTTCTCTATCTAGAGTCATGAAAGCTGTTGGTCCACAGCTTTGCTTTACTGCAGTGTCTACATCTGGTTCTGGTATAATGATGATGCAGACCTCACAGATAAATTAACCACCAAGTGTGTGTTCACTTAGCAGTCCCACATTCTAAGCCTCTTGAACCGATGAATCCTATCTGTCTGGGTATCCACGACACATGATGTAGTGCTGGACACTCAACAACTATATGGGAAGGACAGAGAACCTCTAGAGCTAAAGAGAAAATGGACAGCACCCCAGAGGGATGCAGGCTCACAGGGGTGGGATGCAGGCTCACAGGGGTGAGCAGCAGGACAATCTGATAAGAACAAGTCACACTTCTCCAGAGATAAGAGAGGTTAGTTAAGGGACACTAATAATAAAATCAGCCAAGTGAAAAAAATCTAACTCCAAAGTTAGTAAGGCCCAAGAAGAGAAAGAAAGAGGGAATGTGTCCATGTGGGAATGCAGAGATCAAACATCCCACCGCACTAGAGGGAAGAAAACAGTCACTATAGCACCCACTCTGAGGTGCCTAGTTTCTGACACTTGGTTAGTGACAAAACTACCTCTCCCCCAGTATCGGGGATGAAACCCAAAGCCTCCCATATGCTAAGCAGGTACTCTAACACTGAGCCACACCTGCTGGACAATTTATAACAATGTGTAAATCTTACTTGCCTTTAAAAATACAAGAGAAGTGGTAACAGAATGCTTCAAAAAAGGAAGAGGGGATGACAAAGGACATTTCCTATGAGCAAGTTATTTGTGAGTCAGAAACTCTGATACAAAGCAGCAGGTCACTACTGTTAGCCATTAAAGAGCACTACAAGATGGCAGCAGGCAGCAGGAGAGCAGGAGACAGGTAGGGCCTTTCTAATGATCTGTACGTAGCTATTTTCTGAAAAATGCAAAAAATCTCAGTCATCTACACTCTCAACTTTGCATCATGATTTCAAATGACTAACAAGCTATATTTTTTTTCTACACTGAAAATAAAGGTTATTATTTTTCACCCTGATAAAGATGGCACAGGTACAAAACCTTGAAACCATTGAAGAAAACACTGGTAGAAGTAATCAGAGAAAATTAAATACTTGGTTAAAAGATGACAGACCGACCAAGAGGTGGTGGCACACACCTTTAATCCCAGCACTGGGGAGGCAGAGGCAGGTGGATCTCTATGAGTTTAAGGCCAGGGAGGTTTACAGAGTGAGTTCTAGGACACCCAGGGCTACACAGTGAAACCCTGTCTCGAAAAACAAAGCAACAAAAAAGACGACAGACCAAAGCAGGCTTGGTGACAATCCTGGCACCCAGAAAGCTAAGGGGGTCCTATCTACATAGGGTGCTCCATGCCAGTCAGGGATACAGCAAAATCACCAAGAAAGAAATGAACAAAACCAAAACCCAAGACACGATTGAAGGAAAGGGGCTGCAGAGATGGCTCAGCGGTTAAGAGCACTGGTTGCTCTTCCAGAGGACCTGGGTTCAATTCCTGGCACCCACATGGTGGCTCACACCTGTCTATAACTTCAGTTCCAGAGTTTGACACCCTCGCACAGACACACATGCTGGCAAAACATCAGTGAATATAAAATAAAAAAAAAATCAATATAAAAAAATATTTTCCCTGCAGTACTGAAGCTAAAAACCAGAGCCTTGAGCCTGCTAAGCAACAATTCTACCACTGAGCTACATTCCCAGGTCCAAAGTGAAGAAAATATTTTCTATGCACATAACAATATGCAGCCAATAGTCTTTTGGGGAGCACAATTAGCACGTCAAAACTTTTCAATGTGTGTATCTTTGAGACTAAAAAAATACTTGCACTAGAGCATTGCTGTGGCACTGGCGGCAGTGAAAACAGACCCCTCAACAGAAGCTCTCCTATGTATTACTACATCACTAAAAAGGCCATGGTCAATATCTGAGTATGGCCGATAATGATCCCCAAGACTAGGGGTATACAACTAGGTGTATATACAAAGTGTTCAGGAAAAGGGCTGGAAGGATAAATACATTATTCATTAGCCCTTATAAAGACAGAACAGCAGAAGGTAAAGAAAATTTTGTATTTTACCCTACACTTCTGATATTATTCTTTATGTTTTAAGGACACACATACACATGCTATACTTTTCTAAATTGTATTCCAAAAGCAAACAACCCAAATCTATGTATCAAATGGAGTGATATCGACAGACAAGTTTCCTAGTTGTCAGTCTCCTAAGGGACAGGGGTTGAACCTGAAGAACTTTCCCAGGCTGGCCTTGGCAGTACACACCTGCAATCCGAACAGTTGCCGGACTGAGAGAGGAAGACTGACTGAAGGAGCGAGAGTCAGGACCAGCTTAGGCACCTAACAAATTCTAAGCCAGCCTGGGCTATGTAGCAAAATCCTGTGTTCTGGCTAGTTAGTTTTATAACTTGATACAAGCTAGGGTCATCCAAAAGGAGGGAACCTTAATTGAGAGAAATGCCTCCAAAGATCCAGCTGTAGGATATTTTCTTAATTAGTTATTGATGGGGGAGGGCCCAACCCATTTTGAGCAATGCCATCCCTAGGCTGGTGGTCCCAGGTTCTATAAGAAAGCAGGCTGAGCAAGCCATGAAGAGCAAGCCAGTAAACAGCACTCCTCCATGGCCTCTGCAACAGCTCCTGCCTCCAGGTTCCTGACCTGCTTTGAGTTCCTGTCCTGGCTTCCTTCAATGATAAACAGCAATGTAGAAGTGTAAGCTGAATAAACCCTTTCCTCCCCAATTTGCTTTTAAACAGAGCAACAGAAACCCTAATTAAGACACCCATCTCCTTCCAGAAAAGTTTCCTGAGCAGAGGGCTAAAATCTTTACCATCAACATTACTCACAGACTGGGACGTGGACACAACTGTAGTGTTAACAGGGACCTGTCGCACAGTGGGGGCTCCAGTCCCGATGCTGATGGGGGTGCTTGTTGCCCCAGAAGCCACAGCCACAGTCTTAGACACAGTGGCATTTATACTGGGCAAGGACACCGTTGAAGAATGGACAGTTCCAGACCCACCAGCAACAGAGGCTCCTTGCTTTGCATGTGCTGCAACAGTAATGGTCTGACCTGCTTTGGGAGGCATCACTCCCAGACCCTGCACAATGCGGATCGTGGCAGCAGGTTTTGCTTCCGAAGAGGCCACTGTGTTCTTTCCCTTCTGATCTGCCACACTCACACCAAGAGCTGGCATCAAGCGAAAAGCTGAATTCGAGGTTTCTGCTGGCTTGAGATCAGGAGTTACTTTGACCACGGTAGTACCTGCTGGAGCGGACGAAGCAATGCTGGCTGAAGGAGCCTTGGCAGGGCTGTCAGCTGCGTGGACAGGGTTGGAAGTGACATGTAAGGTAGCCGATATGCCTTTGCCTGCAGTGCCACTTCCTGTCCCAAAGAGGTCCTGAGTCAACTTGACTGTGGTAACCTGAGACTTGGCCAATGTGGCCATCATGTCCGGAGTGATCCTCAAAACAGTCTGGCCCTTGGCATCTGTGGTGATGGAAGAGGGTGGCAGGCGCAGTACATCCTTACCCTGGATACGGAAGTTAGTGGCTGTGAGTGGAATGCTGTTGCCTGTCTGGGGCTTCACACCAAGCTGCCCAGTGATTGACACCTGGATGGGGAAATACAGTTCCAATGAAGATTCACAGTGCTAAGCTGGGGTCACAGAGGAGGCAAACCTCTACTCATAGGCATACACTTCATGTGTCTTGAACTTTTTATTGTGAAAAATGGTAAACACAAACAAAGGTAAAGAAGAATGTAACAAACCATATACCCTTTACCCAGCTTCAAATGTAATTACCTTGTCAATCTTATCTATCCTTTCCTGGCTTTAGGAAGGAATAGGAGAGATTGAGCTGGAGTTCTGGCAGAGTTGCCAGCAGTACAGGTAAGCTGGCATACCTTTACAAAGGGTGCTAGAAAGTAAATCCAAGGCCTCACCACTGAGCTACACCTACCAGCCCCACCCCACAAGAACTGGAATATTTTAAAGTAAACCAAGATACATCATTTTGTGTATCTTGTGTGCGTATGTCTGTAACTTACTTAGCAAAGGATTTGGGGGTTTTCTTGGGGTTTTTTGGTTGTTTTTGTTTTGGTTTTTTGTTTGTTTGTTTGTTTGTTTTTTTCCAGTTTTTTGAGACAGGCTTTCTCTGTGTATCCCTGGCTGTCCTGGAACTTGTTCTGTAGACCAGGATGGCCTTGAACTCAGAGATTCACCAGCCTCTGCCTCCCTAATGCTAGAACTAAAGGCCTGGCATACAGGATTTTTTTTTAGCTAAAAAAATTATTCATTGCTGGGTGGTGGCAGTGCACGCCTTTAATCCCAGCACTTGGGAGGCAGAACCAGGTGGATCTCTGTGAGTTTGAGGCCAGCCTGGTCTACAGAGTGAGATCCAGGACAGACACCAAAACTACACAGAGAAACCCTGTCTCGAAAAAACAAAACAACAACAACAAAACGTTACATCACTATGTAGCAAGTACTATCAGCACATCTGACTGTCCCCATCCCCACACCACCTTCTGGTATCTCAAATCCATCTATTTACAGTTATCCCACCTGCTTTAAGCAACAGTGTGGTGCACTAGCTCCTAGAAGGGGCTCTGGAGTCAGACTCCCTGGGTTCATCACTACCAGCTTCACAGTACCCAACATGTAATAGCTTGACCCTTTGGTCTACTCAAGCCTTCCTCTTGATGGCCCTTCTACTGAACCACTACCATAGAAAGCAAACACAAAGGATACTGGCCATCCAAAAGAACAAAAACAAAACAACAACAACAACAACAAAAAAAACCCATCAAATCTGATTGCTTCATGATTCACCCACACACACACTCCAGTCCAAAGTCTATGCTGTCTTCAGAAGCAAACTTCCTTTTTAAATGACTCATGTTTACTTACTTCTGCTTCCTCACCTGACATTCCCTTTAGCAATGCAGATCCTGGTCCCAGTCCCATCTATTCAATAGCTATACACAGTGAGTCTCATTCCTACTTTTTACCATACCCCACACAGGTGCTGTCCAATCTTCTGGAATACACTAAGTCTGTGTGTCCTACATTCTCCACGCTCTAACTTTATTCCCTCAGTAAATGATACCACTATACCCAACCATTCCATCCAGAGCCCACAGGAACACGTCTTCCTTTTAGACTCACATTCAAGCTACCAGCAAACCACACAAGCTATATTCCCTGCTTACCACAGCTAACAGGCACCTTCCACACCTCTCACTTGGGCTGCTGCAGCTGCTCTACCTAGTCTTGATTTCATTCTCGTTCCCCAAAGTGCACTATATCCAGTAGCGAGGGATTAACTACAAACCAGGTCAGGTCACTGAGAAGTCCACAATCTGCCTGTGCTTCATCGTCACATTTAAGTCAGAGTCAAAGCTCAACATACTGTAACCACGGTCAACCGCACCAAATGCACTGCTTGTACACTAAGCTACCCACAATGGCTTTACTTGTCACTCCTCAAAAGTGTTCCTGATGTAAGACCCTCAACTTCCAGGTCTACACATGTAGTAGTTTATCTCCAGGTCACCACTACATAGCAACTTCATTCATCTCCTTCAAATGTCATTCTTCAGAGAAGCCACTTCCCATCATCATGGCTAAAGTAGCACATGATATTCCATCTTCCATCTTTACCCAAATCACCAGTGTTTCTTATTATCTGATGCTGACCTAGTTATTTGTCTCCTACTCCTATGACATATGAGCTCCACAAAGGGGCTTAGTTCAGCCTGTTAGCACATGCCTAAATTTCCCAAAGACAATACGTAACTATTGAATAAAAATGCTATTTTGTCATTGTGTGGCTTTATTTCTTTATCTACAAAATGGTGTGACAATACCTACATACAGTGCCATGACAGGCTGGCTAATGTCTATAAACCACACAGTAGAATGAAGCACACAAGAAGTACTAGGTATCAGTTTTTAAGTGCAAAGATCACACTTGCATATTCACAGCCAAGAAAGAACAAATGCATATTCCACCTTTACAAGTGACAAACTAAAAACCTTGTAAAATATGCCATGGGAGCTAACTACACAAACCCAGGAAAACTGCAACATAAATCCAAACCCCAGCTACAAAATACTGAACGTAAAGGCTGCCTTTGGGGTGGGGGGCACTCACCTGATAAATCTCCAAACCATGAGTCAAAGACAACAAACCCTTCTCTACAGGCAACAAAGCTGTTCAGGATCATCCCATACCATCAGTCCTTTGCTTTAGCTTTAGGACACCACTCAGAGTCAGGTCCACATACCTGCTTGATGATGTTCTGTCCTGTGACATTCTGGATGACAGCTGTCGTGGAGGCACTTGGAGCAGAGTTCCCGGGAGAACTCATGGCTGGCTTGCTCACTGGGCTGACTGCAGCAGGGAGATTCGTCACTGTAAGCCCTGTCTGCCCAGGTCCAGGCCGCTGCACAGAGGCTGCTGCAGTTTGCCCCTTGACTGGAACAGTTGCTACTACTGCCTAGTTCAAGAATGTGAAGTCAAGAATCCAATTAGACACCAAAATGGGATCATCCAGGCAAGCAAGGACCCTGCACAACTCCACTCAGAAAGCATTCTCTCTCTCTCTCTTTCTTTCTTTCTTTATCTATCTATCTATCTATCTATCTATCTATCTATCTATCTATCTATCTCTCTATCTCTCTATCTCTCTATCTCTCTATCTCTCTATCTCTCTATCTATGGTTTTTCCAAGACAGTGTTTCTCTGTGTAGTTTTGGTGCCTGTCCTGGATCTCACTTTGTAGACCAGGCTGGCCTGAACTCACAGAGATCCACCTGGCTCTGCCTCCCAAGTGCTGGCTGGGATCAAAGGTGCGTGCCATTACCACCCGGCCAGAAAGCGTTCTCAAAGCACCATTGCTATCAGAGCCTGAAGCTCACCATGCCTTGGAATGTACACTGCATTCTTATATTTGTATAATGTTCACACTGTTTTACATTTAACATTGTATTTCATTTCTATATACTGCAGACAACTGTGACTCTTCCATTTTACAGAGGAGAGGAAAATGGGACAAAAAAAAACGTGAATCTTTCTAAGAGTCAAACAAGTGATCAGTGGCACAGCTAAGGCAAAGGAAATTTGGAAGCACGAGCTTTGAAATTTCATTCCACTTCTACAGGGTCTTGATATGAGAAAGAAGATCTTGTTTCCAACATGCAAAACAGAGTACCTAAAAGTACTTTTCCAGCTTTGAACGTTTCCCTGGAAGCTTTGAACATTAAATGAGTTATTTCAAAGAGCTTCATCATCCATACCAACAACATAAGACTTCTAGGTCTTCCTCAAGCTCTACCTGTTTGAGTCACTAACTAGCCCACTTCTAGGTCTACACAGTCCCTATATCCCAATGACACACAGCATCCACTTACCTGGGGTACTACTTTGGTTTGTGTAGCAGTGACTGGCACACGGATCTGTGGTCCGGCTGGCATCTGTGGTAGTGTCTGTGCTGGCCCTACTGACTGCTGGGAAACAGCAGGAAGGCTGGGCTGGGCTACCACCCGAACCTGGGGCAGTCCGGCTGAGCTGGAGTGGCTCACAACCCGAGCAGTGGCCTGAGAACTGGGTGGAGTCTGGATGGAAGCTGGGGAAAGCATCGTTCCTAGCTGTGGCATTGTTGGTGAGGACACCAGAAGAACACTGTGAAAAACCAAGGGGAAGGAACCAAAACACAGACACTCAGTACACACATACAAAGACTCCGGCGGGAAAGGAGAAGAAGCACGGGCGCTTACCCTGAGCTCGACTTAGCTGGCTCGGACACAGGGGTAGAGCTGCTTTTGTTCACTGCTGACACGGGTGGAGGAGAGATGGGGGTGGTGGGCAGTGCTGGCGTGGTGGGGGTCACAGGCGTAACTGGGGTAGGTGGCATGCTGGAGTCACTGAGGCTCATCTGGCTTTGCTCAGAAGGGCCACTAAGGCCCTTCATGGAGCTCTCCTTATTACTGGACTTCTAGGAAAAAACAAACGGGATGTACCTCAGGCATCATGAGGGTTCCTGATGCACTCGCTGGGTCAGGTAAAGTTGAGTGTCTGTGTGGCCCACCTCATCGCAGACCTCTAAGTAAGTGCCCTCAACAGGTGACTTACCACCTTGGGCGGTGGCTTGGGTTTTTGCTGAAGAGCTTTTCTGGCTTTAGCTGCTGCTGCTTGAGCTTGGTGAATTCGTTCTACAAACAAGGACGTTACACAGTTTAGGGAATTTCAACTTAGCATGCTTAATGAGAAGGTCTTCGTTAAACACCAAGGCCTCTCCAAGAAAAAGCTGTAATCACATTTCTCAGGAGCCTGAGGCAGGAAAGCAGTACATTCAAGGCCAGCCCATTACACAGGCTAGACTCTGTCTCTAAGCAAACAAAACAAAACAAAAAGCTGGACTTGACTATGCACAACTGTAAGCCCAGAACTGAGAAGACAAAGGCAGCATCAACGCAAGTTCGAAGCCAGCCTGCCCGAAGAGCAAGTTCCACATCAACCTGGTTACACATCAAGATCCTGTCTCAAAAACAAAACAAGACAATCCAAGGCCGTGTTGGTCTGACAGAGTAATAGATCTGGAACAGAAAGGCAGACACCTCATCTAGCCAGCACACTGAAGGCCTCACGTACCAAACTCCTCCTCACTCCGGTCACGATGCAGGTAGATCCACAGCTTTCGTCCAATGTCGTATTTCACACAAGGGTCTTTTTCATAATGCAGTCGATCCAGTGCGCCACTGACTACAGTGTTCACCTAAGAACAGAGCAAAAGGAGACATGGGACAAGTCCAACCAAGATAATACAAGTTTTCTGGACTCCCAGGAGAAACCAGTGGATGAAAAAGTCCCAGAGAGTAACAACTGGATCCCAACCCAGCTTGTCCTTCCACTGGCTCACTTGGAAAGGAATGATGTGCAGCTAAAACATTAACTCATCCTCACTGTAAACATGCTGGGAACTAACTGACTGTAGAAACCTTTCCTTTATTATAAAATAAGGAGGGCTGGAGAGACGGTTCAGCAGTTAAGCGCACTGCTGCTCTTGGTTCCCAGCACTCCTATAAGGTGGCCCAACCAATGAGAACTCCAGCTCCAAGAGATCCAATGCCATCTTCTGGCCTCCATGACAACAGACACTCACGTGGCATGTGTTAATATAGTGTTAATATAGACACACACACATACACAGAAATAAAATTTTTTTAAATAAATCTTAAAAAAAAAAAAAAAAAAAGACAGTTGTGAGTTACCATGTGGATACCGGGAATCAAACCTGGATCTTCTGAAGGAAGAACAGTGTTCTTAAGCACTAAGACATTTCTCTACTCACTTGGTTACAGTATTTTTAATGGTTTATTTTATTGTTCTTATTACGTGTATGATGTGAGTACACTTGCCATGGTGTATGTGTGGAGGTCAGAAGACAACTTTCAAGGCTGCTTCTCACCATCTACCTTGTTGAGGCCGAGTCTCTTGCTGTTTCTGCCACACTGTGTACTCCGGGCTAGCTAGTTCGGAGATTCTAGGTGATTCTTCCTTGCCTGCCTCCACCCTTACTTTACAAGTGGGCTTAAAGATTTGTTCCTTCATCCAGCTTCACACGTAGACTCCAGGTACTGAACTCAGGTCATCAGGCTTGCACAGCAAGTGTCTTTACCCACTCAACAAGCTCACTGGCCCACGGTTTTGATTTTGAGGCAGGAGTCTTACTATGTTATCCAGGCTTTAAATTCAAAATCCTCCTGTTTCAGCCTCCCAAGGTAGATGCTATTATAGGTATATGCCAACATGCCTACCTAGCTTTTATTTATTTGATTTGGGTTGTTTGTTTGTTTGGTTTTTTCCTGAGACAGGGTTTCTCTGTGTAGCCCTGGCTGTCCTGAAATTCAAGAGATGCCTCTGCCTCTGCCTCCCAGGTACAGGGATTAAATGTGCCCCACCATGCCTGACTTATTCACTCATTTATTTATTTTAATGATTTTGTGTTAGGGAATGCACATAAAACTCAGTGGTAAAGTACACTCCTGATGTGTTGACCCTGGGTTCAACCCTCCGTAGCACAAGAAAAAAAAAAGTGTAACTTATATTTCCTAATAGTTTTTCTCAAATGCATTCTGAAATGAAGCCAAGAAAAGCTATTTCTCTAACTCACCTGAGTGCTGGTGACATCTGGAGCAAGAAACTGCGAGTCCTTGAGCAGTTCACAGATCTCTGCTCGAGTGCCTTCTCCATTAGGCAGCCGAGCTGCAGCATCCCGAACTGACATCAGAAAACGCAAAATCCAGGAGTCAAGCAAAGCTTCCAATGAACACAGCATCTCCTGACCTGTTCTGGTGACTGAGCTTGGTTCCTGAGCCTCAACTGACTGGCCAGGGCACACTGCCCACTAGTGGCTATAAACACTGCACTGAACTTCCTGCACTTTTAACACACCTACAGGCAAAAATAGGTCCATGGATCCCTTAAGACTTGAGTGGAGTGGTACTCATCCCCAAACAGAACATCCACACCACATTCCCTCCCCACAAGGCTCAGGGAATGTCATGAAGAACGGGTGGAGAGACTTTAAGAGGCAGAGGTTGGGGAGGATTGCTAGGAAAGAGCACCTTTGGACATGGAAGGAGCTGTATTCACGAACTCTCAGAAGCTGTGGTCACTACACAAGCCCTGCACAAGAGCTACCTAGTCACTACTCCAGCACGGACAGGAGGGGCTCAAAAGATCCCACTTCTAGTTGCAAACTACAGGCAGTCATGGCAGCCAGTGGAGTAAAGTCAGTTTTCTTTGGGGGAGGGAAACCTAGGTTCCCATTCTACATTGGAGTCCTACACCCACACCACACATACACACATGCAGATGACACTAACTGAACTCAGTGGGACACACAAACACATATAGAATATACATTTCTCGTGAAATCATAAAGTTGGGAGGGCATCTGAGGTGAAGGATGAGGGAGGTGTTGGAGGAGGGAGTAAGGGGTGGGTTAGACCAAAATAAAATGAATTCATGTATAAGGGAAAAAAGATTCAGAGGTTCTATAAATCTGGTTTAAAACAAATTTAGCACTTCCTTCAGTTATCAACGAACATTATAAATCACATATTGATATTACTGTACTATTGCAACAGAAAGCAATTCAAATCACTTACACTCACCCCCACTGGATGTTACAAAATTTGAAACACCCGCTACTGGGTCCTATTATTCAATATCACTAACAAAAACATAGTTTTGCATTTAAATTTGTTTTAACAGCTTAATAATTACTGAAACATGACTTTTGAGGCCAGGCTCATCTACAAATCGAGTTCTAGGACAGCCAAGACTACACAGAGAAACCCTGTCTCAAAAAAAAAAAAAAAAATTTAAAAGTATAATTCTAATTCTGGGAAGGAATCTACAGGTCTCACTAGACTACCAAAGGGACTCATAACACAAAGAATTCTTTGTTCTCTTATTTTTTTAAAAGATTTATTTTAATGTGCATTGGTGTTTTGTCTACACATGTCTGTATGAAGATGCCAGATTCTTTAGAACTGGAATTACAGACAGCTGTAAGCTACCATGTGGGTGCTGGGAATTGAGCCTGGGTCCTCTGGAAGAGCAGCCAGTGCTCTTAACCACTAAGCCATCTCCCCAGGCCTGCTTCTCTTATTTTTTGAGACAATATCACTATGTGGCTTCAAACTCATTATGCAGCCTAGGCAGCCTTCAAATCCACAACAGTCCTCTAGTCTCAGCATCCTAAGTACTGGGGTTATAGGCATGCGTCACCTCTCTCAGGAAAAAAATAAAAAAACTCCTTAGAGAAGCAAGTTCCTATACTTGTTGTGACAACTAGCTCTGAGCAGTTCATCAAGATGAACGGAACTTCAAAAAGAAGCACTGATTCCTGGCCTCCATCTACCAGGGCAGAATCCACCCTGCCATCTCTTAGATATAAAAACTTAGGAGACTGACCCTCAATCCTATCAATGGAAGGTACGTGCGGGGGGGTTAAGGTTTGGTACAGGAATACAGATTTCATCTGAGGAAAGCTTTGGGGTAAAGATAAGACATCCTCAGTAATAAATGCACCACATACCCAGAGACAGGATGGTGACGTAGGCAGGCCGGTCAGAGCGCAGCAGCGAATGCTCACGAGCCTTGTTGAGGGAGGTCTCCTTGTCAAACACGCCCTTCACTGGCCCCACCACAGACTCGAAGCCATGCATGCGAAAGGTGAATGCCTTATGGGGTTGGCTATACCTGTAACGCTCCTACCAAGAAAAAAGGCAGAAAACTGCCATGTCAGAATTAGTGGGCTTCTTTCTAGCACTCCCTTGAAATAGATGGATCAAATGAGATGTTAAAATAAGGAGGAAACAAGCAATCCCACAAAGAACTATTACCCAACCACAGTAGAAAAAAGACAGTTCTCAGAGCTGGTCACCCAGGAAATGACAAGGAAGCAAAATGCATTTTGCTACCTTGAAGAAAACACGGTCAAAAAATTTTCTTTCCCTTTTACCAAATCAGTTCTAGCCCAACAAGCAGCCTTAACCAATGGACTATCTGAGCTGAAGAACATGAACCCCCAAGGAGATGAGATCAAGGAAAGTCAGGCTCTGTGCGTCTGTCTATACAGCTTCTAAAGAGCTTACCTGCTCTTGAAAAACCCGTTTCTCTTCTCCTGTGCTAGGCCGCACCACATAGTCAGTTCTTCTGGAACATAAAGAATTCTACATCATCTCTGAGAGCAAGGAGGGTCACGGACCATCCGCCCTTTCCCAGTACCTAGAACTATTCCCTTGGCTACACGGGATAATGTTCCTTCAAAAGTCCTTGACTCCTGTTCAGTCTACTCTCCAGTTCCTGCTGATTTTCCCCACATTCTTAGGATCCTCAAATGTTTGGAATAAACAGAAAGAGGGTGGCATCTTTACCTACTGTTTTCAGTATTGCTGAAAAGTCAGCTCAATTTGACAACAAAAATGTCATTTTTGGAGGAACAAAGCATTTCAAGTATGTCTGATGACAAGAGTGGTATTTCTGCCTTCCAAAGAACCTAGAACTTGAGTTCTAAACCCATTACGTGAATCTATGTGTGTATATGTATGTATGCATATATGTATATATGTAGGGCTACAGTAAGGATGGGCCTCTGAACAGGCAGGAATCAGGACCATGAGATGACTTAGCCTGAAGAGCACAGTACTAGAAGTCAAAGGATCTGAACTCTAGCCAGGGTTGCGACACCACCTTTAGCAAGTCATCGGACTTCATGGCTTTCTTTTTATAAGTCAAATGAGGAAGTTGAATTAGATTAATCATTCTCAAGTGGAAACCAGGAAGGTAGGTACACAAGGAAACTGCCCACCTACAAGGCAGCTCATCTACAAGGCAGCTCATCTATCTTTAGACTACTGCAATCAGAGCCATCTTTACTGAGAAGCATATATGCATGCCGCATGCTGAGGCACGAGTCAGTGGACCTCTAGGGTCTCTAAGGTCCACTACAGCTCAAACACACTGAAGAAGCCAGCAGATCCACAGCAGTAACATTTAGTCATGGCTTTGTGGGAAACACCCACCACAAGAATATACTCACACTCGAGGGACAGGCGTCATGGCATCTGAGCTGTCTTCATTTTCCTGCTGAAGAAAGGGAAGACATTACCAGGTCCACAGGCTAAACAATTTTTACTAACTTAAGGGCTCTAAAATCCCAAGTCATGAAAAAGTCCGCGACATACCTTACAGAAGGTCTGATCTTTGGTTTCTAACCACAGGTGGAAGAGAGCAGCTAATTCCTTTTCACTATCTTGAAACTGACCTGTGGGGTGGTGGGGATACACAAAAAAAAGCAAGACATTTAAACTATTATTCAGAATCCTGCCTTCTCTTCACCAGCTCTATCTATGCCAGAAAGAAAGCATGTCAGAACCTGTCACTGGTCCTTCCCACATGCTCATGCGACCACCCTCACTGCCTGGACGACTGCCCAGGATGTCATTTTTCAGATCTTTTATTCAACAAGTATTTACAGAGTAGTCACTGTGCAGCAGGCATTTGGATGAAGCTGAGACCATGAATGAATTCATTCTCTGCCCTTCAGAGAAGTCACATCAAGTGAGTAATGTTGTGGGATATGTGTACACTGTGTGAAGGTGCATTGCTCTGATTGGTGTAATGGAGAGCTGAATGGTCAATAGCTAGGCAGGAGAGATAGGCAGGACTTCCAGAGACAGAGAGGACTCTGGGAAGAAGAAAGGGAGAGGAGACACCAGGAGATGCAGAGCAAGTAAGATATGCAGGAGAGATATAAGCCACAAGCCACATAACAGAACACAGATTAATAAAAATGGGTTAATTTAAGTTAAAAGAGCTAGTTAGGAACAAACCTAAGCTATAAGCCAAGCTTTCATAATTAATAAGAAGTCTCCCTGTCATTATTTGGGAGCTGGCAGGTGGGACAGAAAAAGTCTCACATAAACAAAATCAATTCTACGGGAGGTCTATATATGGGAAGAATCCTATTATTTTAGGTGAAAAAAAATGCACTCTTCACACTGGCATAGCAGTAAGAAGACCTAAGACAAGAAGAAGCTTAACTCTGCAACTGCTAGAAAGACTAAACTACTTTCTTTGTGACCTCTTCTTGTGTCACTTTATTATTCAGACTCCTACTGGGGCATCTGCCTCACAATGGTACCTAGATCTCTTGCACAGGCTGGAACCACCACGGAGTCAGCACCACACAAGTGGACTGTGTCAGAATGCAGCTCCACTTCTCAAAGCTAGAAAAGCACGCTCATCAGGATGCTTACCTTTCTTTTCACTAGTCAACTCCCAACAATACTAACACCACTATACCTACCTCTGGGCTCTCTCTTCCCTACAACACCCTCCTTGCCTCTCACTGTGTCTCTCCAAAGGCTATTCATAATCAGTCAATCAATCAATAATTGAATGTTCCTTCCCTGAACCCCAAGTTTTGTTTGCTACAAACTGACTTCCAGGTTCCGAGCCCTGGGGATGCTGTCTACTCATCCTCTTGTAGCTCTGCCCTAGGGTCAAAGGTTAAAGGTTAGTTCTTCCTCCACCCCACAACTGGTTTTAGATATTTGTTCCCAGTTCTGCTAAAAAAAAAAAAAAAAAAAAAAAAAAAACAAAAGCCTATTCCAAAACAGAGTGCCGAGAAATAAATGCATACATATACAGTGAGTGAATTTATTTTTGGCAAGGTTGCCAAACACTATGAAATAAGACAGGGACAATATCTTTAAAAAAAAAAAAAAAAATGGCCA